AGCAGGATTCCGGTTGTTGTCACTCTGACAACTTTCTGAAAGGTATCCAAAAATCGGCTTTTCCATGTTGAAAATTTCTCGCTCGGCGGCCATTGTTTTGTATGCATTCATCAGTGCATGCGCGTTGTGTGTGGTGCTGTGAAATGTGATTATGCCACCAGAATAGACGAAAGTACACGAATTCAGTGTTACCTGTCATGTCAAGTCGTGATCTGGTACGATCTGGTACACTGCACACTCGTACTCGCTGCAGGCGTGCACCCGGACCCACAATTCTAACTCTCTGCACTGCAGTGCAGGCGTGCACCCACTATACTTGGCATCTTCCTTCTCAGTTTGAACTTTCATTTCGAGATTGGTTTTTTGGTTTCAGTGTATACTAGTATGTCTGTGGTCAAGTAGCACTAGAAGTAAGCGTCGTGATGAGTTTAAAGTGTCTCATTCACGTTCCGGAGTGCGGTGAGGAGGTGAAGCCCTTCACCCAGACAACGTGGAAGAAGGTGTGTGAAATATGCACTAGTGAAGCTGTTGCCGTAGAAAATTAAGCTGAGCTCAGGGAGTTATGTCGTAGTGATGTTTGGCCTGAAAACGGAGGCTTCCACAGAAAATGTTACCAGAAAATAACGAATATAACCCTCCGACGAAGGCAGAGTACCCCTCATCTAGCTATTCGGAAGAACTGTCTGTGCCGGAGTCGATAGAGCCAGAAGCCAAGCGCCGCCCCAGCACGCGCGCCGCACTAGCCGCGCCCGTCGTAGCTCCAGGCATGAAGGGCTGCATATTTTGTGGGAAGGAGAGACGCCAGCAACCTGGCCGGAAGAATTGTAGTCCAGTCCACAAGCAGGTGTGAATACGCACACGCTGCAGCGAAGCTGTTATGTACATGTACATGTTATACGCAGTAAACGTCAGAAAAGACGAAAAGGTCCAAGTTGCAATTGGTCAATCCGTCTCTGGAATATTTGCGCGCGAGGTTAACTACCATAAACAATGCTACAGGAATTACACGAGAGCTTAGTGCCCCTGTTTGCGAAGCCATGGTGGGGATGCATGCCTATACAGGTTGTGACACAACCAGTGCCTTCAGTGGCAGAGGGAAGAAGCTAGTATTTCAGCTGATCACCAAGCAAACCCCAAAAGGCGAGCTGGCTCGAAAGGCTATGGCAGCACTCAGTGCATCATTTGACGCACTTCCAGCTGACATTTTCGCTTGCATCGAGCAGTTCACTTGCGGTATATACGGCTTCAACACCGCCACATCTATCAACGAAGTGCGATACCAGATGTTCTGCTCTCGCTCGACGCAATCCAGCTCTCTTCCTCCTTGCCAAGATGCGCTGCGCAAGCATGCTGCAAGAGCAAATTACCAGGCCAGTATCTGGCACCGTGCTCTGGAAGCTTCCGCGGATGTCCCACCACCGCATAGCCCTGGTCAAGGGTGGACCATTGATTCTGGCGGTGGTTTGGAAGTGGACTGGCTCAGCTTGGCACCAGCACCATCGAGCCTGATGGAATTTGTTTCATGCGGTTGCACGACAGGCTGCAAGCACGGACATTGCTCCTGCCGGAGACAGCACCTCAATTGCACGGATGCTTGCAAGTGCTCTCACTCGGGCCAGGAGTGTGAGAATGGGCAACCACTGGAGCTTCAAGTAACTGCAGAACTCAGTGAAGACGAGGATGAATAAGAAAAAGAATGCCCATCCTGACAGGTATGTATAATGTGATTGAAGATTGAGTGTTCATTAGAGTTCAGTGATGCACATTGTACAATCATGAACATGTACGTGACTGTACATCATGCCCAATTCAAGTCCTTCTGATGTTTGCCCAGTGTTCAGTATCAATATCACATGTGGACTAAAATCAATGTGGGAGATATAAAAATGCACGGGAATGATCATTGCGATTATTTTTCATTGCCATCGGCTTCGGCCTCATTTCCTCTGTGCTGCGCTGATGAGTCCACTAAGGACGAACTAGTTCTGTCCACACGTTGGGTGATCATTGGAATTTGAATTGTGTATTTTCTGTGACCTGATTATTCTCTACAGGTCGACCTTTTTTGGCAACATGAAACATATTCCGTATGGCTAATCCTGCAGTATAAGTCAGTGTTATGATGACGAAGTCTCCCTCGTACACAGCTGCAACAAACGTAGTCTTCTGGGGTCACGCGGTCCTTCAGGTCTGGTCTGTCAGTGACCTGTGCTGATGGTCACAGTGTTGTGATCCTTTCTCTGGACTTTCAGATTATTCTGCAACCCATATAATAACTATGCAATGCATAAATGCGGCTGTGTATTCTGCCTTATATCTGTATAATGTACACCATTTTTGTATTGAACGGTCTGAGATATTCTTAGATCAGACATAGTATTCTGCAATGTACAGTACCTGCATGCCACAGCCAGTCCTATTATGATCAGATGAAATGGTATACAATGACTCGAATGATGTTTCGAAGTAGTTACAGTATTCTGTTCGACACACGCGGTCTTCTTGCACACGTCTGTGTACATGAACAATATGGACGTATTGGGCATTTAGTTTTTCTTTATTTTTCATGTTATATCATATTTTTCTCTTTCCAGTTGAATCTGGGAAGGAGGCACTCTGGATAGATGACCCTGTGGAAAAAATAATAATACCAAAAACATTGTAATTAGCCAGAAAATCCAATTTTAGGTTCTGGTTACCATGGCAACCGGTGCTGATTTGTATTTCACTCGCCGTGCAACCCTTGGACAAATTCAGGAATGACAACAAACGGGTTTTCAATGTATGCCAGTCCATCTATCGACTGGGCCAAAAAAATTGCGGTGCCCTCATACTCGGAACGAGAATTCACATTTTTGTCACTTGGCCCACAGACTAACATGTTCATACCCAGGATAGCCCGGGCCCGGGATGGGTGAATAAATTTTTTTTTTTTGACCTTTATGGTATGTATATACATGTACATGTATGCTTTCCAGCGGCCAAAGATAGTTGGAAAGCTTGTGTCTTAGTTCAGTTAGTTGGGAACAAATTACCGGTACTTGAACATTTGGGCTCGTGCAAAATCACACCAATTTTTGGATTTCCTCAAAACGTTTTGCTTCAGCAAAAAATGCTGCCGAGCCACCGTGCTCCGGAACACCAGAGACTTCTGCGTGTGTGTTATTGTTGTGGAAGTGGACCACAAAGGTATCGTGATGATTGTACTGGTATTTGCTCACTTCTGCACACTTTCAAAGTCCACGTACTGGAGCGCCGGGAAATATTTACAGACTCAATACATCTACTACTTTTGTTATTATTTTGTCTCACCCCACACCCCTCTACTCTGTTATCGGCCCTCTTAAGAGTTGTGTTCATCACCGTTGAGGCTTCCCATGGGAAATAAAAGAATACTACTGTAGTACGACTACTACTAGTATAGTACTATAGGCTCGGCCTTGGTGTAGTCATGCACATGCTGTGGTGTTGAGCTCCCTTGTACATGCACTGCCACACTATACTGTGTAGTATACACAGAAGGGGTTAGACTGTGACCATGGGCCTGGCCTATACAAGACGTAGGTGTGTGTGTGTGGGGGGGGGGGGGGGGGGCTCATTCAGATTCAAATCCGTCCCCGACAATAGACTGGCAGACTATGCACACAAACACGCCCAGAAATAAGAGTTTCAGTAAACCATTATTCATCTGTACTTCTCACTTTGTCAACATACACTGCATATAAGGCCGAGGATGCCAAGGAGATGCAGAGGCGATGTAAACATCACAGCACATACACAATGACAAACAGGTGAAGCACCAATCACAGCACATACACAATGACAAACAGGTGAAGCACCAAAGCATTTCGCATGGAGCTACATGTACCGATGCGGCAGGTCAACGGGAATAAAATAAATACTGGGACACACTTCAATTCCATGGGGCTCAACTGAAAGATCAGAGGCTAATCGGGTTTGCTCAATAGTGCAGTACAATGTACATTGTATAGTTTGGGTGAAGAGGAGGGGATGTAGGCAATAAAGCGGCCATCTCAAATCTCAAGTCAAATCATCACCGAACACTGAAAACTCAAGCTGTACAGCCATGCAGGCCAGGTTCGGATTGCTTCCTAGCTGGTGACGAATGGCGACTCAAGCAAATACGTGTGCATCATCTTGGGCAGCGGTAGCTCACAGATCAGGTCGTAGCGCGTCGTCTGGCGAATCACAAAGCGACACTGCTGCTGCAGTGAGCGCATAGTGCGAAAGCGCGAGTGCGGGTATTGCAATCGGACTGGGACTGGGTTCTGCCCGGGTACTGCGGTCGAGTGGCAGAACGCACCGGCCTGCGATTGAGCCAATGCAGAGTCGATGAGTTCAACAACGGTCTGGCATCGCCGTGAACGGGTGGGGTTCTCGTATAGGCTGAACGCGCCGTGGAAGTGCTGCACACGAGTGTGCAGCGTTCTGCCGACAGAGCGGAATGTCACGCTCAGCAAATAGCGATCATCAGTGCTGTCTCGAACAAGGAACGTACCGTCAGGCAGGCCCTCGAGGAGTTCTTCGGCTTCGGTACGCGACACAGGTCCCCAGTACCATCCTTGCTTGACCAGGCCTTCAAGTCCCTTCAGCAGACTGGTGTGCGCTGGTGATGCCGGAAGCCGGCCGTAGATGACGTCGTCGCTCTCACCTCTGCCAATGCGAGGCGGCGCTGCATCCCCGGCAATCCTGCTCACCCTGTTCTCATTGACGCTGGAGGCGGCGGTGGATGTGCCGGTCAATGCATGGTGTGCCGGTGATGTCCAAGCACGCGGTCTCGTCCGCCTTAACGAGGACAGGACACTTGACCAGCCGTCTTCTTCTGATATCTGCATGCCCGAGTGGTGCATAGCAAGCTGCTGCGCTGCCACGCTGCGGTACCAGCGGCCGACGTCACGCAGTGGGCCAAACGCTCTCTCCAGAGCCTCTGGGTCGTCGTAAACACTGCCAGTGCGCCCGCTGCTGCTCTCAGGGATGTTACGAGGGGGTGGCGGAGGTGCTGTCGCTGCTGGTAGTCGTCTTGGTGGCAGTGCTGCAGTGCGTGAGTCGTCTGGCGATGTGGCTGCTGAAGGAGGTGATCGTGGTGGTAGTGGCGGTGGGTCGTCGTCCTGCTGTTGATCCCCGTTCTGAAAATGCACTGTGGACACAGTCGCCCGCCTGGCCATCGTACGTGTAAGTTCTCTGGCAACAGCCGACTGCACGGCCGTCGATATCGGAGCTGTGATAGCCCGTGGCGGAGGCAACTGGGGCAGCGGGCGATCCGAGAGGGCAGCGGGGTGACGAGCCATCAACATGCTTTCGTTCGGATTGTCCGGAAATTCTGCAGAATAGCGGGAGACTGCCGTCGATGCGTTCAGAGAGGTTGCAGAGCGATCTGACAGGCCTGATGACACGCTGGAGTGTTTGTCGGAATACGACGGATCACTCGCAGAAGACGAGTTCAAGCCACGGCAGGATCCACCAAACTCAACACCTGAATCGCATTCAGGGACCAAATCTGTTCCTGATGTCCCACAATTCAATGACGTCGACGTTAGAAATTCATCGGCGATGTTGCAATTTCTTGATTGGGGGCTCGAGCGCTCATCGACACTTCCACTCGTTGACTCCAGATTCTCCGTAGATATCAGCGTGAAGGATCTTCTAGACCTCCCTCCAACTCTTCTGCCAGCGCCTTTCACCAAACGTTTACAACAATCAGAAAATGTTCTGTGCGATCTGCTACTGTCTTGGCTGGAAAACTCTTTCCCCAGTTCTACCTTCGCACTTTCACCTTTGACCGAAGCTGGGATCGTCACACTCACAGATTGAGATCTCTGCTTGATCACGGCTGCATCACCAGGCGCGTCGCGCAGGCAGCGGGCGGCCAAGAGAAATACATGGTTATCAACGTCGTCTACCACCACTGGCACGGCGCAACTGCATGCGCTTCCACCAGGCACGCTGCTACATGGCTGCTTCGTGCATGGTTCACTAGCTTCACTAGCACTACATGTACTCACAGTACTGCTGCTGCCTGCTGTCCCGGTCGTCGTAGCTCTTACTTTTGTTGTTCCGCTTCGCAAACGCTTGCGCAGCTCGCCCAGGTGCTTCTTCATCGTGGCCATTGATTCTGACTTCAGAGAACTGACGAGCTGAGCTGCGAGCACCCACCGTTAGGCGTTACGTCCAGCAGTAACTCTTCATTCCACCTCGACTAGATAAGAACACACTGACTGCATGCTACATTGTACTTGTAGTCACCGACGTATTTGTAGTCGGGTGCTTTGACATCGACCCCGCAGTTCCGCGCTAGCGCCGCTGACCCTTTACCCTGCTCACACCAACGGTCTGTGTATGTATGCTAGTGCGCAAATGGCTGTTATGTCAAGTCTGTGTTACTGGCCAATGGCAATGAGTAGATCTACTACTAGTACTAGTACTACTAGCAGTATGCGACTACACATACATAACCAGATAACAGTCAGGTATTTATCATTCTGATCATCGGAATTCGGAAACCTGGCATGTGGCCCATTTCCCAGCAGTGGCAGATGGTCTTTCTCGTTACGTCAGTTGTCAGCATTCCTGCACCTAGCTACGTCTACGACTCCCTGCCTGGCCTGTTATGAATGGAGAAGTACTAGTATTAGTACATGACTATGGCGAGTATGACAGACATGAAACGCTGAGCTGCTGCATTCATTATTACTATTAGTATTAGTGCACCGAGCCACTGACTAGTACTAGTACATGTAAGTAGTAGTACATGTACTACAATGTAGTAAGACATAATCATTGTATACGAATGAATGATGGACTGTAGGGCTGACTCCCGGCTGAGTCGGGTAGCATTTTCTTCGGGTATCGGGTCCGGGTAGTTTTCCACGGGTAACACGGGTACCCGATCGGGTAATGTTTCCATTGTAAGACCACAATGCACACCGGCCCCTTCCCTTGCGCATTGGGTAGACTCAAGAGTCCATGGGGCATGGGGGTTATCATGGTTATGGACTCATGGTAGACTAGACATGCGCGTGAATTTTGTACACGTGCACTGTAGGCCTTGACGGATTATGCTAGCATAATTTTTCGCATAATTTGTACCAAAATCGGATAATCGCATAATTCGAGGCTAATTGCATACGAATCGCAAAAAATTGGAATAATCCGCCTTTTCGCATCAAATTCCATACAGTTGTATATGTTCTACAAGTACAAGTACAAGTAGATGCATCAGGAAGTCGGAGGTTTACGACTCCCTTGAGAACATGTCCAATCAACTACAATCAGTGACGTTCGTAGCTAGGTCGGACGGTGCGTTGACCCCGTTGAACTTTTGCTACTGCAGTACAACGCCCTCAACAAAAAATTACCCTGTTATTTTGCACAGAACCATCATATACATTAGCAGCATATGTGAGCATAATGCGGCATAATATGATAACTTTTAGCATAAAAATAGCATAATTCGGGAATTTTTTCAGCAATGCGAAAAGCATAATTTCACGAAAATATTAGCATAATCCGTCAACGCCTAGTGCACTGTGTGTGTCTACATGCATGATGACTGTCATCTAGCTGCGACCTCGCGTTTTCGGGTACTATTCGGTACCCGACTACCCGAGGTCCTCACGGGTAGCACGGGTACCCGACTACCCGTGCACACCACTGATGTAGTGTAGTATTATTATCTGTGCAGCAGCTTCTGCTGGAGACAGAAGCGGAGAAGGGGTGTCAAGTAAGTTAGTTGGCTATCCTCGATACCGGCCTTTTCATCTCCCAGATCCATACTCCACAAGTCGGATTTCCGAGACGCAGTATGTATCCGTTACGGTATTGTCTTTGGACGGTGTATCTAGTGTCTGTGGACAGGCCATGACGATTGACCACGCTCTCACCTCCAGCAGCTGCCCGTCAGGGGGATACCCCATTGCCCGGCACAATGTCTCATTAAAGGGGAAGTTAAGGCAAAAATCAAAATGTCACCAGTTGTAGTCTTCGGGGTGCTGAGTCGAATGGTCTTGGTCCGAGAAAGCTGAGACGCTCCCTTCCTACTTGAATCCCAATCGAACTCGCGCACTTCCACTGAGGCCTGAGGCTCGCCTGGACATTCGGGCGCAGCTCAGGGCTTCTGGACGCGGCAGCAGGATGCCTTTTTTGATGCCCGGGTTACACATCCGAAGGCAACCCTGCAGTCGCGTACAGATGTCCTGCGGCAGCTCAAGACCCACGAGCAGGCGAAGAAGAGGCAGTATTGCGCTCGGGTAACCAGTGTTGAGAGAGGGTCTTTTAGTTTTACACCACTACTAGTGTTTTCTACAACGGGCATGTGTGGCCCTGAATCATCCCTTTTTATGAAGAATTTGGTAACGATCATATTGGAGAAGAATCATGATTTGTAGTATTCAGTAGTCATGGACCAGCTAAGGGTTATGTACTCTTGGTAGTACTCTGTAGCTAGAAGAAGTTACATTTAGGGCGCGTTCGAATTGTCACTCTCTAATTTTTCGAGGACTTTCGTTTTTCTGAAGAGGTGGCCTTATTGGCCTCTTCAGGCAGAAAAACGAACCTCCTCGGAACTCCTCGAAACTCCACAACCTCATCCGATGGGACATCGTGGGAGAGGTACTAGGTGGATTAGTTCCGAAGAGTTTGGATTAGCTACGTCACGTATGCGCGTAGTTCGTGTAGATGGTCGATCTGATCGGACGTCATCATCGCCATGACAATTCCACTGAAAAACTCTAAAATGACAGAAACCGTTCTAATGGGACACTTCAACAATTCGAACGCCCCCTAAGTATTAGTTAGTTAGAAGTCAGTCGTCTGCAGGATACAGAGTACACCTGTACAATGAACGTGGACAGAAATGGAACAAGCTGTTACTACCAGTTTTGTTTGTTGTTGTAGCAACTCCGAGTTTCACGCCACGGGGCCCGTGATCATCAGCCACGTGACAAGAACAAGTCTGAAGAGCAGTTTAGAGAGTACATGTACATCAACACGCCGATGAGTGTATTGATAGTGATGACCATGAGCTGTGATGAAACAGCTTACTCAAACTGACTTTCAGTAAAATGATGTGCAATTTTCTATCCAGCTACATAATAATAAGTCGCAACCACTATTTCGTAGCTACATAACACCATTCACCATTATTATTTGCAAAATCAGCCTTTCATAGTACTGTTTGTAGACCTTCAAAGATCATCCATACATAATCATTCTTACATGTACATGTATGTCATGTGCCAGAAATGACACATACATGTACATGTACATGTGCATGTATGTCATTGTGGCGCTTGGTTGATCCTGAGCAGTTTGCGCTGGTCCGTATGTTCCTCAAACATGTCAATTTGCTGACAGGCGTGTGTGTTGATCTGTCACAGGACCGTCAGGTGGACGTCAACGACAGTCCTGCTCAATGAAATCGAGTAGCGTCGCTCAAGTAATAATAATAACGTTAGGCCAAACTAAAGAAGGTGTGTGGTTCGACTAACATGGACATTTTTTTTACGGGCGGGCGGGCGGATTTTTTTTTTTTAATATATTTTTTAGTACATGTAAATTGGAAAGGCTTCCTGTCTGAAGCCTTTCCATACTGGTACTCGATGTTCCAGTTTTGTGACACGAGAATGGCACGAGAATTAGTGTACCGCTGAGTGTACCGCTATACACGTGGTCGACACTTAGTCGACACGTTGTTGATACTTTTTTGACACGTGACCCCGTCAACGATCTGCTTTGTGCCAATGCCACTCGGTAAACGCCGATGTCGCGTACGACAAAGACGACTATCCCGTACGCGAAATAGTTGAGAATTGCATGACGTGGACCTGACGGCAAGGACAACTGCGAGGAGGCCCCTTTCGGTACCCCTGACGGGAAGGAGAACTGCAGAAGTCGACGAAGTCGAACGAGGAGGCCCCTTTTCCGTACCCCATACTGCAAAGTGCCATTGATGGATACCTTTTGCACCTGGAACGACCCCTTAAACGCTGTCGCGGCGACTATCCCGTACGCGAAATAGTTGAGAACTGCTGACGTGGACCTTTTGCACCTGGAACGCTGAAACGCTGTCGTGTCGGCGGAGTGAATGTGCAGGGTACTGGGGTGAAAAGAATTGCTGCAAAGACGTCCCCTCTACTTGGCTCTAGGCCTTTGCCTTTGGAGACATGGCGAACTGAATGCGCAGGGCGAAAAGAAATGCTGCAAAGACGTCCGCTCTAGGCCTTTGGAGACATCGTGGGAACTCCTTCCGGTACTATACAAACTGCTGACGTGGCCGTGGACATGTACATGGAGAGTCATGGTGGGACTTCATGTACATGGATACATGGTGGGAATTCCTTCCGGCACCCCCGTACCGCAAAGCCAACGGTGGGGAAGGAGAAGTGCAGACGTGCAGGAAGACGAACGAGGAGGAACCAGGACGAGCGAGCAATGGCAGGACTAGCTGGACCGTAAGTAATAGCTGAATTGTGCATGACAACTTGACATCCATGCGGCACTCGCCACTTGCCACTGCATATTTCTTGTCCACTAACAATGTCTCTCCTCTGCCCCCTGTGTGTCCACGGCCCTGTTGCTGAATTGGCCCGATGAATCGAATGTCTTCCGCAACTGGAACGGCCCCGTGAACGCTGTCGCGTCGGCGACTGAATGCGCAGGAGGGAAAATATTGCTGCGAAGACGTCTCCTCTAGACGACGGTAAGGCACGCCATTGATATGTTGCCAGTGTGTGCCAGGGTATCGCGCGATGGTGAATGAGGAATGATGAAGGGTACGGTGGGACTGTAGACCTGTTACCTTCTACTAACACGTTATCAGGTGGAGAGTGTCTTGTACTCACGTTATCAGGTCGAGAGCGTATTGTAGTCACTCTCTCTATTCCTGTACTTCATTACGTTTCAGGTGTACGTATAACTTCTCAAAAAAATTTAATGGTCTACAGTCGTGTCGGAAGGGTACGGTGGGACTGTAGACATGTTACCTTCTAACACGTTATCAGGTGGAGAGTGTCTTGTACTCACGTTATCACTATATCAGGTCGAGAGCGTATTGTAGTCACTCTCTCTATTCCTGTACTTCATTACGTTTCAGGTGCACGTATAACTTTTCCAAAAAAATTTAAAATGGTTCACATCTTCAGATAGAGAGCGTATTGCACCCGCTGTCTAGTCTCTGTAGTGCATTGAGATTTTGTTGATCGAACATGAAATGGATACACAG